GAGCAGATGGGATATGACCAATCTGATTGATTGATTAGGCTTAATAGAGTCATCAATTATCTGAGCTCAAGGATGGAAAGAAAAGTTCTTGCTTTGAAATATACAAAATACAGTTGAGCACCAGGAAGACAAAAAATTTTACCCTCACACTCAAAAACTTCCAGCACTGAAAAACAAAAGTAGTTTTAAAATTATTTCTTAATTTTCATTATAAGTGGTTAATTTTGAATGCAAAGATAGATCAGTAAGAAGGAAACCCCTTTTTAACTTCTGTTTGTAACACTGAGGGTAAAATATACACTTTTAAAAGCCTGCCTTTCAGTTCACAAGCTGATTTCATGCTGAACATGGATAACTACATGGACAAAATTAACTTTCCTTTTATAGCCAACAATCCTCAACAATGGGAGTCTCCTGCAACTGTTCTTCTGGGCTATCGTAAGTGTCTGACGAAAAATACTTCTGATCATCTCAGACTAAGGTAAAATGCTTCTCAAAAGATTAATACTCCAAGGAAGACACAGAACAGAAACAGGATTATCTAAGCAAAGAGTCTAGCTGGCTGAATCTTTTTCTTTCACCACGCAACACTATTTGAAGCTTTATTTTGTGTAAACTTTTATATTTAAATATACGTAATTTAAATTAATTTAAAAGTACATAAACATACTAAAAGAGATTTCCTACAATAGAAACGATAAGTATAAACAGTTGTCTCCAAGGGTCAGTTTCTACCTATTAGGATGGTGCACAGAATCATCATCAATAAAAGACCAGGCAATGCCAGTAGGGTATAAAAACAGAAAATCCATGCTAAAAGAGACATCACATGCAGAGGATTAGATTTCACTGTCTTGAAGTTCAGCATGTGCAAAACAGGTTGAGACAATAAAAATGTCTATGTATACTTTCATGTACACTTCAATCACAACTAAAAGTACCAATCTCTACTAGCACCATTAAAATATATAAGTAATATGGAAAGGCTCTGTTTAAACCTTTTCTTAATGTGCTTGGTTGAACTGTACAACAAATTATAGCTAATATATTACATATTTACAAACTGCTCTATTAAGGCTTTTTCTTTTTGCATTATTTAAATATAAATTAATGGAAACAGATTGCTGTATACTCAGATTATTAAAGTGTTCCTGATTTCACTATGAATATAAGCACATGATCAATTTTCAGCAGTTGGGTAGGCCTAATTAATAGAATTAGACTTATTTAATAAACTTAATTAATTGAATTTGAGCCAAATATTAACCAATTATACTTTCTCTATAAATATTGCTTAAAACACTGCCAGATTCCTACTGAAGGCAAAAAAAAACATATTTTTGATCTCTACAAATACTTACAGGCTGTTACATTTGACTTTTTTTCCTTTTTAAAAAACTTTCATAAATGCTTTTTTAATAGGCTTTTCCACAGCATTCATCAATACTATGCATATGGTGACCGTAACTATTAAGAAGCATATATTATGCCAATATATGGAAAATTCACTGGGAGGAGACAAAGCTGCAATGGTAATGGGGGAAGAGTTTTCCATATATCTGCCCTCTGCACAGCTTTGAGTTTTGGGCAGTGCAACCTCAGGAGACCATCTGAACGGATGTTCAGGTGATGTAGAAAGTACTGAAGGAGAGGAGAAAAAAAGTTTCAGCTGCTGAAATTTAGAAAAGCCAAACTTTTTCTTTCCCCAGGGCTGAATTTCAACAAGACTGTGTCATATTTATGGGCTATCCCATTACAACTTTTCAAATCAACATTTCTGTGGCTTCCCCAGCAATGACACTTTATGTTTTTTTTTTTGTTGTAGATGTGTCTTCACGACTGCTGCGCTAACTATACTTAACTGCTAGGAAATTAAAAATATTGATGGATTGATGGCTGTTTTTAAGTGGTCCAAGTCGAATGTTTGTGCGAATCTGTATTTATTTGAAATAAGGCTCTCCTGGGTGAGTGTCTGAAGAAATTTGTATGATGCCATGTATTTTATGAATGGCATAGAAATGATTTCTATTGTACTAATATTTGAAAATACTTAGCAGATGGCTTATTGTAACTTCATGCAATAAATATAAGGTATAAATTACCCTCACAAAACAAAATAGCACACAGAAGATTCATATATCAATAGTGTTGATACACTGTTTTTCCTTTCCCAACTTAGCAGTGCTGATTGTCATCTGTAATACCACCCCATCAGACTTGTGTTGGATCACATTTTAGCAAAAATGGGAGAAGAGAGAGTAAGATGCTGCAGTGATTTCTTCAAAAATCTTGGCAGTTCCTAATGTAATTTTAGGATAAAACTAATAATCCCTATAATTTTCACTGTCTACTTAATTCTCACACAGTGCTCTTCTCAAACAGTGAAAAGAAAGCAAGGAGTAAAACCTTTCTTTCAAGTTTTACATTCTGGCTTATTCAGAAAAAAATGCTAACATATCTCAGTTTTGGTTGTGGCAGATGGCAATTTCAATCCTATATCACAAACCTGATTAAACACATGTTCCAACTGTTCTCCCCATATATATACCTATGTTTAAAAATTAAACTTGAATCTACTTCACCCCATAGCAGTGTAGAGCACACTATCAGTCTGGCCTTCAGTGGGCACCCATATGTTCTGACTAGGACTACATGATTTAGGAGTTATGGAAGTGTTTGCCCAAAACCACAAGGAACCTGTGTGGTCAGAAATGGAGAGCCCTGACTTCTTTTATCTTCTAACCACTAGACTTTCCTCAATCCAATACATACAGAGTAAAACCTCTTTCATTGAAGTCAATGGGAATTCGGCCATCAGCTTTCATGGGATCAGGAATTCACCCATAATGTCTTATAGACAACAAAAAGGAATGTATTTATGGTTTTATTATTATCCCTAATTAGGAAATAAGGAGAAAGAAGAGACACTACGTGGTGTAGTCTATATGCACATATGTTACTTGTATTAATATCAATGGGATTTAAAGGTACGTATGAAGAGAACAAGATATATCCCTATGTGTTCAGCCAATATGCTTAAAGCAGCTCCCCAAATGCTTGTAAATACAACCATGCTTTCGAACATGCTGTGTATTTATTTGAACAAAGTTAAATCTCTAAATCCTACTTTCCAGTTCATTAAAGCCTTAAATTGTTTATTTCCAGTTTAAGGTTACTCTCTTTTTTACCCATTAGAAAGCTGTTTGTAACCACATTTCCACTACATTTGGGGAATTAGAGAATTGATAATAATTCTCCCATTAACTGAAGGGGTACCTCTCTGGGAAGAGAAATACTCAAGTTGAACTATACTGTAGTGAGGAATTCTTTCCAGAGAATTTTGGGACAGGCCCAAAACATGTAACTGAATGATCTGGAATGCTACTTACACAACCAACATGTGCTCTTATTGTAGACCTTGGATGACTACGTTCCTTATGGAGGCCAGAGGCTTCGAAAGCCAGTCATTTTTTTCTGAATAGATTGTGTTCTCATTTCCTTTTTGGTTTGTTTTTAAAGTTTGAATGAGCACAGCACCGACCCACTATGCACCAGAGTGTTATTCTGGATTTCCGTTATGCGTGAAGACATGAGAATTCACCCCACACTTTTCCTTTGCAATTTGGTGCAAGTTGTCTTTAAATTAAATAACTGAAGTATTTATAGAATACCCTATGCATTTTAGCAAATTATGATCATGTAGTTGCAACTGATTATTTAATTTAGCTTTTGTGTTGCTGCCTTTCAGATGAGCTTTGATATCTGATTTTGCAGATACTTTTGACTATAGTTTCATCAATTAAAAATAAAAGAAGATTGAGATGGTTTAGCGGGTTTAGTGGATGAACTTCAACTAATGCTGGAGCCCCAAAACTAAAGCAACATTCATGGAGATATAGTCATGTTAGACCTTGCTGATATCCATGGTACTCTTGCAACTTACATGCAAAGGCAGTGCAGAACCAAGTGCTAATTTTATGGCCAGCTGCCAAAAATCACTTTCTCAGTTACCTGATGTAATATTTTTTGACTCCAGGACAATATGGCTGTGTTCAATTTTTTAGTATCATCCAAAACATAAAATTCTATCTTGGTATTACAATCTAGTTTCTGGCTTTTGTCTTAAATAAGCACCTCAAATTGTGATAAAATCATAAATCAGATCTTTTTCCTACTGAAATGCTTCTTACTTTGTAATACGGAAAAACAAAACAAACAGTCATCATCTTTTTAAATGACATCAATGAATAACGAAGCCAAATCCGGTTTCCCAGCGAGGAATTATCAAAAGACAGAAATAGTCCAATCACCACAGGAAATCTTTAAGCACCAAAATGGGGACAAAAGTCCCCTGGGGAAAGGACAATGTTTCCTACATGGTCATTCATGTCTCCCTGTAATACAATACTGGGTTATTGTTTGTTTGTTTGCTGAAGTAGATGCATAGAATAAAATTAGAAACAAATCCTGACTAACAAAACATTTCAAACACTAGATGCAGACACGTACATTGCAACTCTTGCCATCATAGCTATGTTGTGATGCTTCTTTCTTACGTGCAACCAGACAGACCTTTGATCGCTAAAGCAAGGTGCACTCTTGCCTCATTATAATGAATGTCACCACCCTCCATCTGGTCTTTCATATTGCATATTGCTGCAATCTTAGTATTGGTCAGAAAATCATCAAAACAATAGGCAAAATACTCTTTAAAACAGACCCATTTTATAGTCTGTCCCCCACCCCCACCAAGGAATTTGTTAAAGGAATGTAAACCCATAGATTTATTTTTCTGTTCAGGTCATGCCTGGGGTAGGCTGCTACATTACTAAACTCCCAAGTCTGAAATTTAGAGCAACACAAAGTCAGCAGGCCTCTGTAGGCAAAAAAAAAAAAAAAAAAGAGACTGCCCTTTGTGGACCATGTCCTTTCGGTGGAGTTACAGCAATAACCGTTATCTGTAGCACCAGGATGTTGCAGGTGTGTGGCCCATCACTTACCTCTACGTAGTCCTTGGCATGGCCCCAGTCTCTCTTAGCATCCAGATTGCCCAGGCTGAAGCACTCCAGCTGTCCGAGGTGAATCTTAGCTACTGACCGGCTAATTTTGCGAGTAACAAAATTAGCTCCTGGAATAGGAATAAAAAAGAGAATAGTATTAGTATAGTCACAGTGGCAGAAAACTGGCCACCAGGAACAACTTCTAGCTCAGCACATGGTAGTCTTCTTTCATTTCCCTCACACCACACCACACCAGCATTTATCATTTGAGTAGGCTAAGGAGCTTCAAATGCAAGTGTCATATTAGCTTCACTTTCACAGCAAACATCTTTCTTTGTGGGACTTCTTAAGCATTCCTAATTTGATGCCTCAGTATTCAGTCCAGGCATAAAGCCAAAGAAAATCATTTGGAATGTCAGTTCTTAAACACAAAATGCAAAAGGTTACATAAAGAAGACAGACATCTTAGACCACCCTCAAGTCTTTTGTTGTCATTTCTCTTTCTTTTTTAAAAGAATGCATATATCTAAATAAATTAATTTATTAATAAGAAACACTGAGATTATCCAAATGCTAGTGTTTTCAAAAGGGTTGCAATGGTTAAGTGTGTTCTGTTTTTCTAGATATTTGGGATTATTTTTCCCCCGGGTTCACTGCAATCATGAAATTGTGATTTCCACTTTATCATTTAGAGGATGTACATTATTTTGTATTTCATTCATGGTATTTCATTGCAAAATACATGTACCCATTCCTGTTCCCTGTAGAGTTGCTTTAAATAACACTTGGTTTTAGTTATTTTCCTATCTTGATTTTTAGAATATGACAGCTGAGTTTCTAAAACCTAGAGAACACTTTTCTCAAAAGCACAAGGATTTGAATTTATATTATGAGTTCAGGCAAAACATGCTCAATGGCATTTGCACACTGATAGGCACACTAAAATTAAAATTTCATGCCTTTTTAATGGCCAAATATATGATAGACTGGTGACAGATGATACTGATACTTCATCCAAATGGAAGGCAGTAAAATTATAGAAAATGAATGCCCTTGTAAAATGATTTCATCAAATTCAGAAAGTCATAAGCAGTATAGCTTGTACATTAAATGTGGATATATATATATATTTCATAATGCAGTTCTGCTCTTGGAGTATGCACCCAAACATTTTCTGTTTTTTGACCAACAAATGACAGTTGCTGTAGAATTACTGAATGTAGAGTGTATGTTTGCAGTAAAGTCAAGAGGACTACAGTACCTTTTGTAACATTTGACTCTGCCAGGAGTAAAGAAAAAAAAAGACTCTATGAGCACCATTTGGAATGAAGCAATAAAATAAATAATTCAGAGTTTATCACAGAATTAAGGTGGAATTTTTCTTTTCTGTTAACTACTAGAATGAATTGGAGTTGTGGTTATTAGCCATTTAGAATATATCATCACTTCTGTGCTTATTTTTTAAAGGATTAATATCATGTTTTTGCCATGTTCCCTGAAAAAAAATGTTCATATAAAAAGGAAACTTAATAAATATACCAATTTTCAGAAGTTTACACATAAAAGCATACTCAGAGGTCCTTTTTCATCAGCATTGCTCAGTTAGATAAATGAGTCAACTGCAGGATCAAAGCCCAAGCCATTCTTCCAGACTATACGTCCTGCATATTCACCAGAGGAAATATGTTTATTGTAAAGAAAAACAGTGCTAATCACAGGACCAATACTGTGACTCTGCTTGTAAAATTTCTGGTAGTGGTGTACTGTGGTTTCCCGTCACTGGTTGAATGCGTTTGCAGAGGTAGTGAAATTCTGGCGTAAGAGAAAGCAATGACAGAGCCTCTCTGGAGGAGAGGCTGGAATTTCTCCACTTTTTGCATTTTGTATGTTATCTATGTACTTTGAGGTCTTCATAAAAATTATTAGTAATTAATTAAAATAGATTCAACCTATTAGACCAAACTATTGAGAGTAATGCTGAAGTTACCTACCCTTTTGCATTGAAATAAGATTGTATTTCCTGAATTAACACAGTAGAAGCTTTTTTTTTTCCACAAAATATATCATCTTAAGTTCCAGATTGCAACTGAGTAACCAGTTAAACTAGCAGCTTTCAGCACTACAGTCCCATTTGCAGTAAAAGTCATGAGAGTTGTAATCATCATCTGCATTAATGTAAGCTTAACTGTCAATCTATGAGACTACATTAAGTCCCATTTTGGACCAACCACTTCCTGCTCATAAAAAAAAGAAATATATGGGTTACCGCCTTCGTGTGAATGCAGTCAACGTAACAAAAAATGTATGAAAATATGAATGATACTTCATAGGAAAATGAAGATTCACCTAGCACAGCGCAGCAAATACTGCTAGCAGTTGCTGTCTTCTTCCAGAATCACTAATAACTGGATAGAAATTGTCTTCTAACATCTTCTCCAAGTAACATCAGAATATATACCTCAACAAGCAGAAATGAATAATCAAAGAGCATCATAGTGAAAAATAAAAGAAAGCTTTGTTTTCCAGGAATATTCCAGTAAAATATTTCCAGGTCTCTTCTTTGAATTGCCTCATCATTAAAGCTTAGGAAGAAAATGAAGCTACTGTTCCTTTTGAGAAATGTGATCAAAATTCTTTTCATGCAACAAAGGACTGAATGCCACATTTCAAAAACATTTAAATGATAGAGTTCATAAATAATGTTTAAATACTGATCTGTTCAAACACAGCATCTTAAAATATCCTCTTACACTTCATGTTTGATTCCATGCTATTAGATGCACATCATAACCAGAACTTAAACTGATGCACACTGGAGCCATACAAAACACCTCAGGTTATGTCAGCATTTCCATTATAAAATCCTATTCTAGGGGCTTGTAATTTGGCTCTAAAATTTTGCTTTGGCCTGAAACTTGGCAGACACGATGTCTCTTTCCTCTGGAATGATCCTATCTAAAGATCTGTGTGGAGCTCTACAAATACCTTTATATAACTAAACACAAGGTACCATTTGAGACACAGAAATGGTTAGCTTCCTTCTTCCCCAGGATGTATTGGGAATGGCTTAATGTTCCTACAGGAGCATTTTCCTCCGCAGAACAGATGATTAGCAGGGGCAGTGGCACAGAGCACCTCAAGTAGCTCCTGATGCGTTAACCATTTTACGTCATTTTTCCTTAAGTCTAGATGATGCAGTCACTAGCTATCGTGACCGAATAATGTCTATGCTATTATGCTACTAACATTGCTACTGCACATGGAAATGCGTTAACGGTATCAACAGAAGCTAACACAGATTGTGAGGAGAGGGGGATCAGGACTCTGCATTTGATCCTGGCTGTGTACTGCTCCTGGCGTTCAGGGATGCCGCTTTTCTAATGTCTCGCTGCTCATACCTGGCAGGAATGAACTCGGGTGCATTCAAATGTTTTTTGGTCAACACTGTTGCAATCAAGCACACCAAGTGTTCTATTTGGACGTTTACTCAAAATGTGAGTGTGACACTCTTCCACATAAACCATGAGGAGAGTCATTCTCGTTCCCTCAGCAGGGAGGGTTAAGCATGCTGGACTGGCTGCCTTGCAGAGCTATTCTAGTAGCTCTGCTCAAGATGTACTGAAAGTATGATGGGCCGAATTATGCTCTCTTTGGGGTTGTTACTGACAGCACTTGAATTACTCTATCACAAAAGCAGAGGTTTGGCCCAGATGTTGCAATACAATCTTTGGTGTGTTGCCACATTTCAGCAGCTCCAAACAGTCTGGGTTGAGGTTTGCATTACTTTTTTTTTTTTTTTTCAAATGTTTTAAAACAGGCCTTAAACATGAGTTTTCATGATATTAACAGGTCTTTCAGGGACTCGGGCCCCTTAAAGCTTAGGTTATTTTCAAGACCCAAGCCATCCCTCCGAGATCATTAGCGTTCTAATAGGAACCATAGGATCTGATTTACAAACACAGTTTACCCCAAATATCATCTTACAAAGGATTCTTCATTAAGCAAACAGGATCTCCAAAACATATATCCCATCAGCAACTATTATAGGAGCAACACTACAAAAAAAAGAAGTAGCAGAGCTACACTTCAACAGCTTCCACTCTCCAGCCCAGGCCTGCTGCACGCTGTACAGCATGGCTCCGTGTGGATCCTGGCTGAAAAGGACACTGTCTCCAATAAGAACAGTTTTGAAATCTGGCTATGTCTCTGATTAACACATTTTTAAAAATAACGCTTTGGGGAGCACCCTTTCCCTGGTGTTCACGTACTGTTCTGAAGCTAGATATCATCACCGAAAATAAAATCTGGGCCTCTGCAGAGTTAACATCAGCACCTATTCCTTTTATCAGCACTAGGATTTCACCCTTTGTGTACTATCAACTGACTGAATTAGGTGTTTTTGGCTAGGATCTGTGGTTTACAGGCAGCAGCCAAGTGGATGAAGCAACTAAAACAGCTGCTGTTGTAGTAACTATTTCTTTACGAGAATCTTCATTTTCCGGTCTCTCAAAGCTAGATACCAAAATTCAACAGATTGCAAAACCGCCCTTAGAAAGACTTCTATCCCTGTATAACACTTGTTGCATCATGCATAAGAAAAATCCAGAATGATGGACAACCTAATAGCATTTTGTAGCAGTATTTATCAGCTGAGATGCAGTATTAGCACAATCTATCAAGTTTCCATAACATCTTTTTCTTTTCTTTTTGCATAAATATGACAAAAAGGCCTCTGTCTCTAAAGATGTTGGCACAAGAAAAAGGGGATTTTTTTCCTCTCCAAATTTCTAAGATTCTGGCAAAGGTTATAGTGGAAGCCCAACATGTTCAAACATATTGTGTACCCAGTTCTTCTACTAAAACGAACATATTTCTTTTAACGTATATACATTGTAAATGATACATTTAATGAGATCATTAAAATGTTTTGATTGCCTGAAAGTCCACACTACTCATAATTTCCATTCTATTAGAAGTGTTTTCATTTTCTGTGGCAAGTTTAAATTAAAAAAGAAGCAACACTCAGCTCTTGTAAGAAAGGAACTCCACAGCCTCCTTTAACTTTACTGACAGAAATCAATACTAATAGTTCTGAAGTCAATGGAATTATGTTAATGTAAACCAGAGA